GTCAGCTTGCATTTGGCGATGAGATGCCTTCAGGAGCAAGTGTAGGGGTTATTGATGCAAAACAGCATGGAATGCATTATGCCAGGTAGCTGCAGATTAGTTTTGCTAGGAAGTATAGAATTTTGTAATTAAGAAATAAACACTTAGGCTACTGTATTTTTTTTTTTAACACCTCCCAAATATTTTGGGCAGGCCATGCTTTTTAACTCTACGTGATCTCATAGATAGGCTGGAAGTCCTCTCTTGCTGAAAAAACTCTTCCAGAGCTTCCTTGTCCTGGGTATGTCCTAGGAGGGGAAACCCGCCATCACTTCTACACTCTCTGGCTCCTCTTCTCTCAAGACCCACAGCTCCAGAGCCTTGAGCCTTGCTGGTGTAGAACAACATTATAAAGGGAGAGGAAGTTTTCCCTCAGGCCACTCTTGCCAGGTTTTGGAGACTTGTGGTTGATTTGACCCAGGAAGAACCCTCGGGGTATCTCAAGACAAATTCAGCATCTTCTACAGACAAAAGGCTGGATTAAAAGGGACGAAAGAGAAATGCAAAGCATATTTCTTTGTTTGGTTGAGCAGTCGTGGTTCGCCCTTCTACTTTTTGGGCCACAGGCAGAGGGGGAGTAGTAAATGGTTGTGCTGAAGCCTCTCTCATGATTCAAGAGTGACACAGATGCTCCAGGTGACTGGAGAGTGCAACTCTAGGGGGACATGACTGGTCGTCTGGAGGTCGGTACCTCCTGAGCAATGGAGAAGTGGAAGGTGATATGCAAAGAAGCTCAAATGATTGCTAATATGAGTGATTTAAAATTCAAACCTCGAAATGTCGATTTGGTCAATTTGGCCTGAAGAATCAATGAAATTTGGTTCAATGACTCCAGTGAGGTGGCTTAAAGAAAAAAATCAGAGGTCTTTGAGTCACAGTGTGAAATTCCCTTGGTTTTAGAATCCCAGTATAATTTCACTAACCCACCATGTTGGTATAGATAATGTGATTTTTTATGTTGCAACCCAGTGAACTATCAGGCGTCTCGTGTTAAGCTGGAGGGAGAGTAGATGGTCCAAAGTTGTTGCTTCAATTTATTTGAGTTGTCAAATCCTGGTGCAGCTGAGATTCCCTTTTACTTTGCTCATTCCAGAGACAAATTCATCTATGCATTTACAGATGCCTATGCTAGGAAAAAGATATGTGATAAAGATAGCATTTTGAGTTATCAAAGACTATTGAGTCTTTTTTTCTTAAGTTTTATCCATAAACTGGAGCATAAGACAGATAATCAAAATACCAGAAATATGATCAGACGACTAAAACCTGTCTTTCACGGACAGAACCAGGAATTGTGCCAATAGCTCTAGGAAGAAAAGCTAAATAGTTAATGTGGTTTATTTTTTAACCATCCCTTTGTTTTAGAATTCTATCTTATTCTTGAGCTGATTCTATGTCACCATGACCTTCTCCTGCCAAGAAGACACAGTTGAGGCATCCTTCAGTAATAGCCTAGGGCTTTGGACAAGCAAGATGCTGTGCTGGCTTTTTGCCTTTTCTTCCAGTGTTTACACAACCAAGACTTATTACATGCTCTGTCATTTTGTTACTGGGCTGGCTTTGGTTTGAGAATTAGGTAAACATCAGACATTCCATCACACAATTTTAGACTCAATCTTACTTTATAATGATGCTAATGTTTATTGTACAAAGCGAGATGCATTTGTATATTTTAGCATTTTATTTCAGTCACAGAATGCAAAACCTGACATTGGCATCAGTTTGATTTTTGTGTGTGTGATTGAAGATATTAAGCACTACAAGAATGTTGAAATTTCAATCTGATTAGGATCAAAATTCTTCAGGATCAAAACACTCCTTTTCCTCCCCCTACAGTTTTACTAATTGTGTGCTACTTGACATTGTGGAGTTATTCCACAGCATGAGAGCTAAATATGTGAAGTGCATTTTACTGTGCAGAATTATCAGCTCATTCTATTTGTTTTTCATGTGTTTAAGGTTATTAAATGAACTTAAAATTAGAAGTCATGTGTATGAGTTGAAAGAGCGAACTCAATCATTATTAGTAGGCTAAATCATAAAGCAATCGCCAGTCTGTCAATATCAAATAATGAAAGAAATCATAGAATTTGAAAGCATACCTTCTCTGTTTATTAGCTGGCAAGATACCAGAAAAATTAGGAGATTAGCACAATAGTGAATGGCTGAGTTGTTTTTCCTCAGGACTCTCAACTTATTCCCATTACTGAAAATGAGATAAAAGTAGATCGCAAAGAATGGCATCAGACATATTTGCTGGAGACCTTTGCTTTATAGGAAGAAATGAACTTCCCTAGCTCACTGTTCCTGAAGAATTGTGTTTCTTCAAGCTGTAAATCAAATCCCAGAGAGATACCATGACGTTTTCCAAATAATAACTGAGAATGACAAAGTTCTCTTTTGTCAGCATCAAGTTTCTGAATTTCGACCTTATTTAAGATTCCAAAATCAAAAACACCACCTTCTCTCCCCACACACGGTCTAGGACAGCATCCTACAAACAATATATTCATTTTTAAAGTCTGGATCTCTGGCATATATTGGTCCAAAAACATATCTGTAGCTTCCTCCAAAGATCCTGATTTTTCTCCATTTTCTCTAAAGTCCCAGCTACAAAGAACCTGATGTTTCTTTTCAGGAAACAGCATCATTTTTTTTCCCCCAATTAATTGAAGAGCCATCTGCCTCTGTGATACACAACACCCATTCATTCTTAGCAACAAGTGTTTCCTAAATCCCTGGTGTGCGATACCAAGACGTGCATTCCATGTTGGGAGCAGAATCTGCTGGAGAGCAGCCTTGCAGGCAGGCTTTTCCCAGAGACACGGTATATACAGAAATTGACACTGAACCTGGTCCCACGTCAGCATTACTAATGCAGGGTTAAAAACACAATGCAAGACGCTCACACTGCAAGACGCTCACACTCGGAGACTTTGGCTATCTGGCTGTCTCTCCATTATGCTTTTGAAGACCTGAGTTTGAAATGAGCAAACAAGTGCACGGGGCAGAAAGGATCTAGAACAGCTCTCCTCGGCCATGGCAAGAAAGGGGAGAGGAAAGAAATACAAAAGACCTTCTGGCTGGTTTTGATACCAGCCCTGATATCAGTTCCCCTACTTGAAACCCAGAATATATGGGGTTAAAACCAAAAGCACTCATCTTCTTTCCCTGTTCTCTAAGTTACATTCACATATAGATATTGGTTGTTTTACAAATTGTTAAAAGCCCAGATGGCCTTAAGCTTGGCTCACACTGACGTTTTGGCTAATTACCGGTTCTTGAGGTTTGTTACAGGGAAACTGATATCAAGAAGCTAAAGCTTCTCAGACTTCCACTCCTTGGCTTCCTGGCACCAAAATCCACCATCCACCATGGAGACAGAGACGGTTGAAGGACACCCACCTGCAATTCCCTTATCCACCATCCTCCTCCCTGCCAGCAGCGTCACAAGGCCAAAGGCAGGCTGGTGGGAAAGCGCTGACCAGCAAGGCCACAGGCTCCCCCTGCCTACCAGCAGCCACATTCCTCACAACCTCTAAAACTCCTTGCCTCCCAACTTTCGGGGAGACGGGACAAATTTGAGAGCTCTCCTCTGCCGGCTGACGTCACCAGAAATAAAAACTCTTTCCTTGCCATAAGCCTGGCGTTCTAGTTTTATTTGGCCCCTCTTGTGTGGCAGGTAAAGAACCTGGGTATGGATCCAGTAACAGTTTTACTACATAAAACTTCAACTTCAAGCTGTACCATCTCATTTGTGGCACCTTGCATGTATTTATTTTTTATTTTCTTGTGACGAAGATCAGCCCTGAGCTAACATCCACGCTAATCCTCTTTTTGCTGAGGAAGACTGGCCCTGAGAAAACATCCGTGCTGATCTTCCTCCACTTTATGTGGGACGCCATCACAGCATGACCCGACAAGCAGTAGTACATCAGTGCGCGCCTGGGATCCAAACCCGGGCCGCAAGCAGCGGAGAGTGCGCACTTAACCACTATGCCACGGGGCCGGCCCCTGCATGTATTTAAAACCAGAGTACAGAACTGGTTTAGAACTTTCTGGAATATAGCTGGTAGGACCCCCATCTTTTAGGAAGAGTCTACTAATGGGTCATAAAAAGGACCTCTGGCTGGAAAAGGGCAGCCCCTTTCTAAGATGTCCACCGGATCAGTGCCTCCTGTGTTACAGGATTGTCAGACCCCTTCCACACACAGCGTAAACAGCCCAGCTGAGTCTAATGAGGGAGAACTGCATGAGGATGCTCATGTGCGAGGTCTGCTTAGACTCAGCCAGAAAACTGCTGGTCCTGCTTTGCTTAAACGCCACAAAAGTGCCTTGGAGGTGAGCCTGTGGGGCCGGAGTTGGGAATCAGACTGAAAGAGCTGAGATTAGGTTCTCTCCCCCAGGAGTCAGGAGATGGAGGTACCTGCTCCTCTGAATAACCCTCTTTCCAGAAACACAGTGAAAAGACACTGCCTTTGAGAGCTGCTGTGTCCACAGGATGTGCTCTGCCTCTGTGCCCGGGCTTCCCCCTCACCCCAGTTTTGTGGCTAGTCAAGTAGGAATTTTTATAGGCACCTATTTGAACTTGTCTTCTTCCAGGTATATTTTGAAACCGAGACCACAAATTTCAGAGAGGAAGTTGCTCTCTAGAAAATGAAAGGGTCAAGAAAGCACTTAAGACAAAGGTTCCCCCATCACTTCATGGGAGAGAGAGCATACGAGACCACAAAATCCCGGGTGAGTGCCTAAAGATCCAGCAATTTCTCTGGGCCCGAGGTCCAACTTTCAATCTAATTCCAACACAAGTTGAAGTGATTTATGTCTCACTTGTTCTCACCGCACGGTGACAGTCACCTCAAATGTACACAGGAGACAAGATGGGAAAAGTCGACACTGAAACCGAACGTCAGAGAGAGATGGCACCAGCGAGGTTGCTCCCACACACAGGCGGTACTTACAGTCCAGGTGACTGTGCCTGATGCCCTCGACGTCTTCTGCGTGGATGAAGTGGTAGCATCTCTTCCCTACGATGTCTACAGGCGTCAGATCCATATAATCACTAATCCTACAGACAGAAGAACACAGTCTGGAAGTCAGAAGAGGGGAAATACAGCCACCGTCCAATGACTCAGAAACAAATCTGCTGACGATTTTCGTTAGAGCAGGGTACCCATGAGGAAGTGGCACCCTGAGGGAGAACCCTTTATAGATAAGATTATTTCTTTAACGTTTCACAGACTTTTGCAAAAGTAGGAAATGTGCCGGATCAAGCAATTGTGTTTAGATAATTAGGCTTTTCTTTTCTTTTTTTGGCATCGGAATATACATTTAGGCAACATAATTCCATGAAATTATTGAGAATCAGTAACAATGCAAGACCCTCATTAGAGGCCAAGATAATTCAAGGTTACATAATAAAATAAAAACATGTTATGTTTATATCAAATGATTAGAGACACCTTTCATTTAAACAGATTGGTCTTCTATTGGGTATTTCCATGAAAAAGGGCTTCAGCTGCTGCTTGGCAAGACGTCCAAATTGGCATTTCAAGGGATATAATTTAAATGCTGAGACATACAGATGCCTGGGGGTATTATCTTTTTTAGTCTTAGTCTTTTGGGAGCTCAGCTTTCACTCCCGGCTCTTTTAACTGGTACTTTGTGGTGGCTTGCACACAGAAACTTTTAAACCATTTCAGCAGTTCTTCCAGGCTTGTGCTCAACAGTACGTGTGTGTAAGCCTCTGTCATTGATTGTCCAGACGTCAATGTCCTCAGGCAGGAGCACAGGAAAATAGAAGAAAAATTGGAAAACGTGGTGGGGGAACCTGCCTCGTCTACACAAACACGTCAAAATGCTTATTACCCTCCTTCCTGTCCAAGTACAGATTCGTTGTGGTCAGTCCAAAAGAGAATATAGTTTTTGTTTAATTTATTCTCTTTCCTGTCCCTATGCTTTTTATGGTTTATGACTTACGATATATTCAAATATGAAGTGAATCTTTAGAAATGACACATTTCAGAAGCCCATGAGATCGCCGTTGGGAGTTAAATCTGACCCCCAAGGGGGGAAAATAAGAAACAAAACAAAAACAGAATAATATGGAATGTAATTAAAACACACTACCCAGTGAGTGCATTTCTCAATGTCTAGCAATTTAAATAATATTTTTGACCAAACTAGAATTCTTGGTAAGATAAAACTAAATGAAGCAATAAAAGGGAATGTTTTCTCAGGATTCCATGCTTTTCTAGTGCAAAACAGATTAGCTGATGTTTTCCTAAAACCATCAGCTGCTTTCCAAGCGGTTTACACCCCCTTTCTGCAAATGAGGAAACAAATTAAAAGGCCCTCATTGGTGTTTCTGAAATTTGCCAGCTCCTCTGAAAGCATTAGATGCCAGCTTTGCCCGAGGCCGTCCTGGGGAATGTGGGGAAAGGACCAGTCTGCAGAGTCAAGGAGCAGCATCAGTTTCTAGTGAGCAATCCCCTAATGAAACAATAAACCCTGGGAAAAAGCCACTTCGTTCTTTAGGAAGGATGTTTCTTTAGCTGATTCTGTATTTGAATAAAACCCTTCAAACAACTGAAGCTCTTCTATGCACCAGAGCCTGTTACCGTGGTGAACGTGACCAGCTCAGTGATCAAGACCTCTTGATACATGTGTAGAAAGCTCCAGACCAGTCTGATGACCTATATCAGGAGTGGCATCCTGATGGCATCTTGTACTCTGAGCCTCAGTTTCCCTATCTACAAACAACCAACGAGGTCGGTGAAGGGATTAATGAATGAAATGAAATGAATGTGCACATGGTATGCTTTCCCCTCAGATCAAAGATGCAGTTACCTTTAGCACAGGTCTTTTTTTTTTTTTTTTT